CTTCCCCTCTCTCCGTACCCACGAACACACCCCAAGCTCTTCTCCTTTCCATCTTCTCCAGCTCAGTAAATGACAGTGCCATTATTCCAGTTTCTGTGGCTCTAAGTCCATGAGTAATTTTTACCTCCGTCCTTCTTTTCATACCTCCCATCAGATTCTATCTTTCGATTCCTGTCAAAATCAGCTCAAAGGCAATGGGTTTAGGACTTTGGGGGCATGCCTTCCAAATATATCCATTGTTCAAGCATTTCTCACCATCTACCCAGCAGTCACTGGGTTACATCGTCTCTTGCCTAACTGACTGCATTTGAGCCTTACTACTTCTATTCTTGTTGCCTTGTAGTTTATCTCCATAAAGTAGCCTGAGGGACCCTGTTGGAATGGTAAGCCAGGTCACATCACTCCTTCATTCAAACCTTCCACTAGCCTCCCATTTCACTGAAGAGGGAAAGACAACACCCTTACAATGCCCCCCAAAAGTCCTAAGAAGCTGGTCCCCATGTTCCTTCTGAGTTCACGCTACCGGTCTTTTCTGCATTCACTCCTCTTCAGTCACCTGGTCATCTTACAGTTCCTCTCCCATACTCAGCATTCGGTATTCCTTCTGCCTCGGATACTCGTCTCCCAAACACTCACGTCTCCTTGTACCCTCATTCTCTTCTGCTCTCTGCAAAAGCGCTCCCTCTTCAAAGATGCCTCCAGGACCATCCTCTGGAGAGGAGTGCGGCCATTTCTCTTCAGTCCCTTTCAAATCCTGCTTCAAATCTCTTCATAGCACATCAGACTATGTATAAAATCATTGTCTTTATTATCTCTCCCCACCAGAATTAAACCTGAAGAAGGCAGAGAGAGGCTTTGGTGATTTAATACTCCATCCAATGTCTGAAGACAGTATGTCATAGCATATAGTAGGAGTAAATATCTGTTGAATGGATCCTTGAAGCCTGACAATCAAGTATCATGTGTCCTGATTAGCAACTTATTAAATGTACTATTGCCACCTCAGGGCATAATATAAATTAAAAATAATAAACCTAAACTTATCCATGGCAGATCTATAGGAAAAGCAGGGTATTCATGAAGAACACTTTAACTAGGAAAGGGGACATAACCCATAACCCACACCCTTCCATGATGCTCCCCACCCCCACCCCGCATACCCCAGTACTACAATTGCAAATAGACCCTTCCAGAACTATTTACTTGCTTTACATCTGCCTAGAATATTGTTTTGAAAGAAAAATAAGTTTGGTTAACATAGGCTATTATCCCATTGCCATTGTCAATGTCATGACCTACAGGACAGGGCAGAAATACCCCACAGGGTTTCCAAGGCTGTAGTCTTTACAGAAGCAGGTTGCCACATCTCTCTCCCATGAAGCAGATCCTGGATTCAAACCACTGACCTTCCATTTAACAGCTGAGCATTTAATCACTGTGCCACCAGGGTTGCTTGCCTATAACATAGCCAAACAACAAAATTCTTTACTCTTGACTGACCATCTGGATTTTGCTGAACTTTGTTCTCAATAATAAAAACAGTATGTTAAATGCATAAATGTGGTTCAAGTTTAGTCCTTTAACTACTATACATAAAATCAAATTAAATCTATGTGAGGGTTTAGAATAATACATTTTTAAAGGGCTAAAAGCTCTATCACTGGACATGTGCTAATTGTTTAACTGGAAAAGATGGTCCTCTTACCCAGATGCCAAGACCAAAAAGAGGCTGATATATACAGTCTAGAAGAAGAATTAGGATCCTTATAAATTTTATTTTTGAAGCATAATCAAGTAACTTAAGACACAAGCTTATAACAGAGCAATCAGTGTATGTGGAGAAGTGTGTCTTATTCTTTTAATGTAGAAACAAGGCAGGGGGTTAACGAATAGAGAGAGAGAGCAGAAGACCATTCCACTCCTGCTTGAAGATGAGCCCACTACCCACCAAGTCTATTCTGACCCTACAAGGCGGGCTAGGGCCGGGATCCAACAAACTCACTGCCATGGAGTCCTTCTGACTCGTCATCTTCATGGAAGCAAGCTGCCACATCTTTCCCAGGGAGTCCCTGACGGGTTCACACTACAGCCTGGGGGTGAACAGCACAGTTCCTGGCCACTGTGTCATCAGTGTCCTTCCCTTGACGATAAATGCTCTCGGTAAGAGAAAAAAAAGGAGCCCTGGTGGCATACTGGGTTACATGTTGCCCAGGTAACCACAAGATCAGCAGTTCAAGACCACCAGGTGCTGTGTGGGTAAAAGACGTGGTTTTCTACTCTCATGAAGATTCACAGTCTCAGAAACCCACACGAGCAGCTCTTTCCTGTCCTACTGGTTTACTACGAGTCAGCATCACCTCAATAGCAGTGAGTTTGGATTGGTTCGGGAGTTTTCCTAAAAAAGAAAAAGAAAACAAGTAACAAGCAAAATATCAAAATAGCAACATTCCCCTTGTCAGTATCTGCTCATAATGGTCTCAAAATACCACAGAACTCTGAGGCCAGCGTGTCCCACTATTGCCTGCCCTAGGAACTTGTATGCTGTGTGAAGATGGTCTATGTCAAGTAAAAAGCATCAACAGAACCCAAGTCAGGAGGGCAGAGGGGTTCCTAGGGCAGAAAGCCACAAGGGCAAATAAAAACATCTCCAGTGTCAGAAGAGCAAACTCAACAGGAAGCTACCTGGGCCTCGGTGGGTCCTGGTGGGTCCCGGGAACTCCAGTGTGCGGTGTGAATGAGCCGATGAGTCAGGAGTCCCACAGCCAGAGCCCGTTGCAGCCTTTCACTAGAAAGACTCATTTGTACTTGGAGAAAGAGGGATGTCAGCCCCAAGGAACATGTAGACCTTTGCAACTGTTTTAGAACTTGTAACTTACTACTTTTAAAGTGACAATAGCAGAGGGAAAGTTTTTAATTTGGCTAATAATAAAGTTATTACTTGCTAGGCACAACAGGCATGCTAAATGTATCAGCTTGTTTCATGGAACCATTTAATAAGTCTCATTTAATCACAATATTCACAGTAATAAGCGTTCATCTGGCCAGCAGCACTCAGCTATTGCAATGTGGCTAAGAGCCAGTCAAACTTTGACATCAGTAAATTCTGGTAGCATCCTTCCAAAATCCACTTTCAGTAGCCACCTTTCCTCAAGGGTCATTCACTGTGGAAGCTGCACTGAACTTGGGATCCAGGAGCTCCAGGTTAAGCAGCGTTGAGAACTCCAGAGCCTGAGGAAGGCTATTTAGCTGTCATATGTATCTCATTATAATCTGGTAGTTTCTCTGATTGCAGTGTGATAACCCCTTGACTGTGAGGATTACATCTCCACTGTAGTGCCCCTAGCACAGGTCAGAGCTCTCATAACATTGTACGTGTTCAATGTTCAGTAACAATGCTTTAGAAAATGATCCCTAGTCATCGAAACAACTAAATGACATCTCCTACAGTCTAAGAGGAGACAAGCACAACACACTTGAAAAGATTTTCGTCCACTTTGCACATTCAAATAACATTTCGAAGGTTAAAAATGGGAAACCCCCGGTTATCTGGAAATGTTGATTACTTCAAGCAATTTATGCCCAAGGGTCCCAGGAAGCCAAAGGCTTCAGGAAATGCACATTCCTCCTTCCTGGTGGACCAGGGTGCCTTGGCCCACACTGCCTCCTGGGGCCTTAAGCCAGGATGGAAACTGGCGAGCTGGAGGGCTGGATAACCTGCTCAGGACAGCAGCTTGTCAGGCAATGGAAGTGCCGGAGCTGGGAAAACTCTGAAGGGGCCCACATGTCAGTGGATAGATGACCTTTTAAACGTGTATGGCTCTCACTACCTCCAAGCCTGTCCTCTTTTGGTGACTGCCACCCATAAGGCAGAGGGACAATATGCTCTCAGATTAAGAGGTAAGGGGGGCTCCGGGGGTAACCCCACCTTCATTAACCAGAGATGAGTGCGGGTGCTCTAACTCTAAATCCATAATGTTTCGCAATCACATAAAGCCAGCTCCTTCTTAAAAGGCACTGTCCTAAAAAAGTGTCACGGAGGGCACTCTCTCCTCTCGTTTTCAACGTTCAACGTGATTCGGGTTTGTCATTTGTTTTGCTTTACATTGTGAAACAGAAAACCCGAATCGCGTTTAACAAGTTTCTGCACAAAACTTTCCGCCAGCATCAACGACCTATCCCACTGAAATGTGGCCATCGAGCCGGCCCAAGGGTGTAGGGACAGCTCCCTGCGCGTGCACCCCAGCGACCCCTGGGCTGCAGTGGCCGCCCCCGCCTCCCCCCGCCAGCCGCCAGCCCCAGAGGCCAGGAGTGCACACCGCGCCAGCCACCGGAACCCTGAGCCCGGAATGAAGGCAAGGGGGGTCGAGCTGCACTTCGGGCTTCCTGTGCTGGCCGGGAGGCTGGGTCGCTCCTTCGCACACGGTCCACGACGCACCGTCCACGCCAACAGCTCCCTGCCAGCTGGCGACCAGCTCCAGCTCCGGGGGGCCTCGGAGGGCAGCCGCTGGGTCCTGCTCCCTTGTCCTCCCCTTGGGCCCGGGTCACTCCCCTCGGTATAACGGTACCCGGAACGCCCTCCACTTCCTAGAGTCCTCTTTGTCGGGGTTCCTCTTTCATAAAAAACATGGGGACGAGACGCAAAGCCGGGAACAGACGACTGGCCAAGCCATCCTATCGTCTGGGCTCAGCCCCCTCTGTCCTTATTGTACAGGAGCCGGATCAAAGCCCCTGGTCGCCGTTCGGACAGTCCCCCACCCACCTCTCCAAACAAACGTCCGCAAACGGCGCGCCGGGACAACTTCTTCCCCGGTTTCACAGAGCGTCTCGGGACGCCGGGCGGGACCGTTCAGCCCCCGCGCCGAACCGCTTCCAGCGACAGGGGACCCCGAGGCCGAGCCGGGGCGGGGCGGCGCCCCGAGCGCACCTGGACCTTTGCATTTACACAAAGAAATTAGCCGGCTGGGCGCGGGGGGCGCCGTGCGCGCGGCCCGGCTCCGTACCTGGGACATCTGCGGCCGCAGGTTGATCTCCTTGAGGTTGAGGGCGTGCGGCCGGAGGTTGTTGAGCAGCTGGCACAGTAGGACCCCGTCGCGGAGGGTCTGCGCCAGGTCGAACACCTGCGCCGAGTCCCAGGTGACGCGGTGGTTGGCGGGCAGCACCTTGCAGTGGATGAGCCACTGCG